AACCATACGACCATGGAGAAAAAAAATTTCAATTTATAAAATTCTAGCGGGCCAAAATAAGATGCCAGAAGATTTTCATAAGAAAATAAATCAACCACCAAAACTTTTAACTTGTAATATGGAACTGAAAGTTAAGTAAACTTCATTCATATACAGATGCAAGTGCATTAACAAGTTTATAAAGGCAATAACCAAATGCACATGCAGAGGCCCAACTATCAGAAAGTAAACAAGTAGCAGATTGCCTTACTTGAATAATGGCATAGAAAAGACACTTAAGACAGTAATTTCATTATAGTATCCTCTAGAGTGTTAAGTTTTTGACAGTGTAAGCAGAAGTATATACAATTTATAACTAGGGAAAATTCACTAAGCTTATAGCTAGTTGGATGATATGAAAAAAGTGGAACTTACCTTGAGAGAAAATATAAATGATGAATCATCTTTTCCTAAGTGCTCCTGTTAGGAACCCAAAGTAGTGAAAATTCAATTTCTTGTGGAAGAAAGAAGAAAAAATTTAAATACTGATAAAAATGTGGACATAGCATCATACACAGAGAAGACCCTATGTAAAACAGCATCTATTAAAATGAGCATTGTTTAGGATTCATTTAGAAACATCAGTCCACTTTCATCTGTGCTTATATGTTCGCATTTAATCAACCAAATGCAACCTCTGTAGCATTTTTCTCATCCGGTATGACAACATAACATAATTGTTTTGGACTTCCTATAGAATATGTTCCGTTATGGGGCTACAGTAAGGTAATGAAGTGTGTGTACACCTCGTAATCAAACTCAGATCAACCCATCCAAGAGACTGGACTAAAGGATTTGGTGCCTATCCAATGAGTCAATTATTGAACCGCTTTAGTGATTAAAAATGACTAAACTGAAAACATAATGGTTTCCCCTTTTTATGAGAGAGAACTAGATTGGAAATTTTTTATTAACAATGGTATTACTGATTTGAATAAAATTTTTTAGTTAACAAAGTTTGAAGGTTATTTAGCCTTTGTGTATTTGCATCTAAAATCAGTCCATATTAAAAACAGCCACCCATACAGGGTCCATTGAAACTGGAATTATTGCCTTGCAGAGAAAGTGCATCTATGGGTGGTTCTTGGCAGTAAAGTGACAACAGAATATTGGCAATCATATGTTAGACCCCATTAAAAGAAGCCCCAAACTTTCTAGTGGTTTCTACAGGTACCTATCATGATCGTTTGCACAGAAAACCATGTTAAATAGTTGATCAGAGTGATCATTTTGGAATTACAATTTTAGAACTACTTCATCCAGATCAGCTTGAAACTGACTACCAGGTTTATACTTAATGCCCATCTCCTTCTCACTCTCCTTCCCAAAACCTTCTGACAAGAAACTTTTGGTATGAAACTGATAAAATCATAAAACCTATGGTAGTCACAATTATGCCATAGCAGCAGTTTCTTTGCGATGATACCACATGGTGGCAGATGGCCAAGCCACAGTTGAAAAAATTAAATAATTGACTGGTTGGTCAATCAACTGGTTCATATCAATGAAAAGATCAATCAAGTCTTCAAGTTTATGATTGCCAGTCAAATCAATGAGTTTGATCCAAGATTATAACCATGTATAAGTCTATTGAAAGATCACGATGCAACTACCTTCACTGAAGGAGAGAGCTGCTATAGTCCCATGTTGTTTTCTTTTTCTTTTTGAAAAATATCATTCTTAGAATGCATTAAGGGTAAAACATTTCCATGACATTAACAAAATAATCACATATTTTACAGTTTTCATGATCTTGCACTAGAAATTACCATTTATTTAAAATGACTGGCAGAAATCTTTTGTAAGACTCGAAACTGATATGAACATGTTGAGTAGTAAAGCTCATTGTTGTTTAGATCAGATGATGATCCTAGCAGCTTTATAAAGGTCCATCCATAGTTCTAGCATCAACAGGGATTTGCAAGTACAAGACATGGGACAAAAACAAATATGAAGATGATATAAAAAATTAGAGAATCTTAGAACCAGAAAGCCCTTGATATCATTCATTATGTTCATCACACCGCACAAAGGGAAGAGACTAAGTATACCCATTCTATAACTATGCACCATCCAGGAAATAAATACATTTGGCTAACACCAAGAAATTGCAAATGGTATTTCTCACACAAATTCAGACTTAGTTTGGCATACCTGTCCATAGACAAGCTCATTTAGATCACTAAGTGACGGCGTTCGTTCCAGCAGCCATGCCTATGTCATGAAAATCCATAAAAAAGCAATGGATTAGCAATTCAATTTTAGCACCAAAGCAAACCTGTGATTGCCCATGATGAATTACCTTCATGTTGGCAAAAGCATAAACCAGGATCTTTTATGCATTTCATCCAATGCTTTTTGAAGCATGTTTTGGTATGCATGAAATGAGTGCCAAATACAGGATTGATAAAGTTTGAGTCAATTCTAGTTTTAAACCCCTTGGTACCTAGTGTGTTAAGAATAGTTAATGTGTATTTTATTGATATCACAATTATATATATATATATATAGGTTTCTAAACAGAAAACAAATAGATATATACATAAAGTGTATTTAACCTTCTACCCTTTACCTAAGTTATACTTCTTTAACATGCCCTCCTCAGTTAGGGAA